GAAACTTTTCCCTTAGTCTCCATACAATAGCTCTTAACCGCTCGTCCATAAGACGATGGTTTTGAGACAAAAAATTCTAGACATCACAGGAAAATAAGAAATGACTGAAATTTCTAAAAAGGGTGGGTACCAATTTCTAGTTTTCTAGGATAGTCAATAGAACCCCTAGAACTAGATCCTAGGATCCTAAGGAAAGGAGTAATGACCTCAAAAATGAGGTCAACATTCCCGAGTATTAGAAGTCCTAAAGCTAGATCTTAGGATCCTAAGAAAAAAAGAAATGGCCTCAAAATGAGGTCAACACCGACTAGTTTAAAATATATATATATATATATATATATTAAATATATTCTAAATATATTAAATTTCAAGACTTTTACTTTAAATTATTAAAATATTTAAAAATGGTATATTGTATTTTACATTAAGTTATTTTTTATTTTTTTAGTTATTTATTATATTTATCATTTTATTATAATACCAACTTAAATTAATATTATTTTTTTCTTTTATAATAAAGATGTCTGCTCGTGAGGTGGCTTGAACTCGTAGACTTAAGTTGGAGCTCAAGTTTATTAATTAATCAAGCTCAAAATCAAGTTGAGGGTGGCTCTAGCTCGGCTTGACTTATTTACACTGCTATTCTCTACATTTTATTTGCATTGAATTGGTTTTTTCCTCGGGACAAGTTGGTTTGGATGCTCTAATGGATGTTCTTGTGCTGTCTGATTTTGGAATTGAACTTTGAATGCTTCTTAATCTTCAAGTTTAGGGTCTATACATCAAGTAGGGACTAATGCGGCTGCAACTGCACCACATTACTAATGAATGACTTCAGTTCTCCCAAATATCTCGCTCTGATGCGCTCTTGTTCTAGCTACTCATTTTTCGGTATGAGTTCGTCAAATCAGTTTTGTACTCTTTTATAGAAGAATCTCTCTGAAACAGGTTCTTGAGTTTATAAATTTGTCCTGTCGGTAATGTGGGAGAAGATATTTGTGTTGTAGTTTCTTTTTGTCTTGGATTAGATAGTGATTTTGCTTTATATCTCATGGTGGTGTAGGTGCTTCAAATTTTTTCTTCTCAAGATAGTACTTTTCTTGAATTTGATTGCTGTAAATTTAATTATTTTGTTCTGAAAAACATCTTTGCACTGGTGTCAACTCTTTGAAATCACTGTTGTCTAAAACAACTAATGTTAATACTATTGGTGCTTCTCTCACAGGCTCAGTTTAAAGTACCTATCAATTACTAGCAACTCTCTCTCATCAGTTTTAAGTTAGTACTCCTCTCTGACATCCTCATTTATTCCTATGTCAGTGTCTGTTTCTTTAACTACTCCATGCTCAATAAAAGAGATCACACTTTTGTTTAGGCAATCAGATGCAATATGCCTAAAGTCGTGACACTTGAAATTCTTTCACATTGGGATGAATTTGGTAGTGGTAGTGGTTTCGACTAGAGGTGTAAGTGAGCCAAGTTGACTGGTGAGTTGGCTTGGGCACAATTTTATAATTGGCTCATGAGTTGAACTTGATAAGCTTGCAAGCCAAGCTCAAGCTAGTCCTGACTCTGCTCGTTAGTTCGTGGGCCAGCTAATTTTAAAAAATATTAATATAAAATATGCTTAAAAATATATTAATTTTGAAGAATTTATTTTTAAAATGGTATTTTATTTTATACAAAGTGATTTTTTTATTATTTATATTTTAATTATTTATTTTATTTGTCATTTTATTATAATACTAGTTTAAATTAGTATTATTTTTCTTTCTTTCATAGTAAACAAGTCAACTCATGAGCTGCTCGAAATTGTAAAATCGAGATGATTAATTAATGATGCTCGATCTAAAGTTGAGGGTGGCTCGAGCTTGACTAAACTCATTTACACTACTAGTCTTTGCCTTTTCTCTGCTATGAACTTATTTTTCCTTGAGTGCGGTCGGCCTGAATTTTGGGTGTACTTTTGCTGTCTGATCATGCGATTAAACTCTGCCTGTAAGGTGTGATGTTGCATTTCCACTTTCAAAGCTAGGATCTGCACATCAAATAGGGACTAATGCAACTACAACTACACCACATTATTGATGGATGACTCGAGTTCTGTTATATATCTCTCTACAGTGTGCTTCTCTAGTTTCAACAATTCACATTTCAGTATAAATTAATCAACGTAGTTCTGTAATTCACAGAAGAACCTATTTGGCATTGGTTGTGGAGTTTTATGAATTAGTTCTGTCGATAATACGGGAGAAGATATTTATGCTACATCTCCCATTTTATTTTGGACTATATTGTAATTTTGTTTTATCCATTATGCTGACATAGCACTTCAAAATTTTCCCTCCACAAAAAATTTTTTTTTTCACGAACTTGATGACTGATGATTTAGCTATTTTTTTCATGAGAAGCATCTTTGTACTGGTATTGGCTTCTTGAACTCACTATCGTCTAGTAAAATCAATGTTAATCCTGCTGGTGCTTTTCTCACAGCTCAATCTAAATGGCCCGTTGATTCAATAACATCTCTCCCTTGTCAACTTCAAATTGTTACTTTTGACATTCTCATTTTCTTTTATGCCACTGTGCGTTACTTCAAGTACTCCCTACTTAGTGAAAGAGATGACATTTATGTTTGGGAAATTTGACATAATATACCCAAAGTTGTGACACTTTGGCCGGAATGAATTTGGGAGTGCTTGTGGTATCCACTAAGGGTGTAAGTGAGTCAAGCCGACTTGTGAGCTAGTTCGAGCTATGTTCGGTAAGTGGTTCATGAGTTGAGCTCGATAACCTAACCAGTCAAGCTCAAGCCAGCCCCGACTGTAGTCATTAGCTTGCATGCTGGGTAGTTTAAAAAATATTGATATAAAATATATTCAAAATATATTAAATATTTATTTTTAATATTTAAATTATTAAAAAATATTTAAAAAAGATATTCTATATTTATATTAAGTAATTTTTATGATTTTTTTCTTAATTATTTATTTTATTTATAAGTTTACTATAACACTAGTTTAAATTAATATTCATCATTTTTTCATAATAAACAATTCGGCTCGTGAGCAGACTAAAATTTACAGACTTAAGATTGAGCTTGAGGTCAAGCTTAAACTCTATTAATTAATCAAACTCAAACTCAAGTCGAGCATTGCTCGAGCTCAACTCGATTCATTTACACCTCTAGTCTCCAATTTTTTTTCAACTTTAAATTGGTTTTTCTATATAGGCGTCTGTTGGATGCTCTGATAGGTGTACTTTTGCTGATTGATCCTCAGATTAAATTCTACCTATAAGGTGTGATGGTTGCTTGATGATGTTTCTACTTCTCTATCTTCAAAACTATGATTTTTACATCAAGTAAAGACTAATGCAGTTGCAGCTGCACCATATTGTTGATATCTAATTTCAGTCCCTCCGCTATCTCGCTACAGTGTGTTCCTCTGGTTTCAACAACTCTCACTTTAGCTTGAGTTGATCAAAGTCAGTTGCGTACTCCATAGAATAAATCCCTAAAAATTTAGGGTTTGTCGGGCTTTAATACCAAATGACATTGTTCTAGAGCTCCTAAAAGGTGTTCAGGAAACTGATCTACTGGGAATGGGTTGTGGAATAGCAAGAGAGTGATAATACGTGAGTTTGACGGCTTCTGGACGGGGATATGCATCGTTCGGTGTTTGTCCCGGCTGAAAACAGTGGAGGGAACCATGAAATGATGATGTATGAACGACAAAGAGGTTCACCACCTATTCCTGCACAAGTTCCGAACATCACTTGCAAATAGAAGATGATACAACACTCTTTAAGGTAGAAAATAAAGATTACAATTTCAGTTCTTAAAACAAAGCTAAAAATCTCAAATTGCTAGTTACAACCTATATAAACGTTTCTCAATAGAAAGCAACCTAATTAGGAAGAGAAAAATAGGGGAAAAAAAGAGGAAGAAAATACATGCTGAAATAAGCATATAGTAACTATTCTTGACTCTCGTGATCGTGGGAGTTCTGTGCATTGCGGATCGTGGGAATTCCTTGCATCACGGATTGCTGTAGTTCCGCACTTTTTCTATCCATGCTTTCTTTTATACGGTTCACATATGCTTTTAGGTTTTTTACCAGTCATCATCACCTGCACTGACATTAAGTTTGTTTGATGAAGGAGGTGATTAGATATATGTTTAGTTAGTTTTTTAATGTAATACTGATGTTTAATGCTTCTACAATTTTTTTTTTCTACTATAAAATAGTCAGGTATTATGAAACCCACAGGTCACAGCCCTCTGATTTTCAAGCATTTCTCTTTCAGTTAAGATGCTGGTAAACCCCATTGTATTGAATACTAACATGACAAAACATTGAATTTCAAAAAGATATATATCTATGATTTTTATGATATTTTTCCATAGTGCATGATTGGTTTAACTTTGCAACTTTCTTTTGTTTAAAGAGCAAACTAACCTTGTATGGTCATTTTTTTTTTGTTTCATATTCAAAGAAATGCTGCAAATTTCAATTGCAATTTAGCATATTTACTTTCTTCTTACCTATCAATTAGGCTTCTTTTAGATTTATTATTCTCTTAGACATTTTTTATGGGGATTCTTTGTTTCAATTTGAAAACAGCAATCTTCTTTTATGACACACGCTTGGAGAACAATATCAGACATTCTCTATTATCCAACTAAGCCACATCATAAGTATCCTGCATTTTTTTTAGTCGAGGTAATTCTTAAAATGGAGTATGTATGTAGCAAATTTTGAAGCGCATTTTTATTTCTCCCTAAATGTTGGATATTATTTATCCCGATTGATTTCTTAAGCACTTCTGCATGATTTTATTCCTTTTCCTCTGGTATTTAGCTGGTCAAATGTAGTTCTTCTAAGAATATGTAACAATATCATCGTAATGCATCTCATATAAATATTTTTTATGATTTTTTACCTAATCAAAAGATATTTGACTAATTGATTCTTATCATTTCTTCTTTAATATTCCAGAGTTCTCTGCGTTTAGTTTCACGGTAAGGGAGACAAAAAATACTTCAACAGGCCATAGCAGCAATATGGCAGTTTCCATGAGGGAGGTTGATTCTGCATTTCAAGGAGCTGGGCAAAAGGCGTATCCTTATGGTTTATTTACTAATACATGTTTAAAATTTACCTGTTTTCCCCTCTAATTTCTGGGTTTAGAGCTCTTGCAAGCACGTTGTAAGTTGTTAAAGTTTGTTGCAATTTGGCAGTTGATTGATTGTTATTACCTTACTACCAAAGAATGGATTGAAGTATAACTTATCAGCTAAGAATGCTTTGAATGCCTTGGCAAATGTTATTGTATGAGATAAATTTCACTGCCAACTTTACTTGATATTAAGGAATATATGTTTGAAACTCTTTTGGGATGCATTCAATGTCCATTTGGCATCCTTCTCAGTACACTCTCCACATGACTTAGTAACGAGGATCATAAAATCAACACCACTAGTTAAGATAGAGCTGATTTTGATGATCTCAATATCAATCTCTATTTCCAATAGCATTTATTTTAAATTGCATTGGAACTATATTTTGCATTATTTTCAAGTTTTGATGTTTCAAAAATCTAGGTCAAGATATACAAAAGGGTAGGGTATGAATACTTCTACTCTAGAGTTAAAGCTTGGTTGGTAAAATGGAGGACTTCATGTGTAATCTATCATAGGAGACCAAAAGTTTAAATTTTATAAAATTATTATATGCTATAATGAATTCTAGTGTTAAGTTCTTAGAAAATCACTAAAAACCAAATTTAGTCAAATAATAATGAAATTATTAAGATAGTTGTTATTAACTAGGTAGGATAGAGTTAGAGTTATTTATGCTAGAGATAAATTACTGGGAAAATATGGTTTGGGCTTGTATGCAAGGATGATGATGCACCAATTTAATCTTTTGATAGAGTTATTGTATATGAAACATGAAGGAAATTTGATGGGCCAAGCTTTGTATGAGCTAGAGTTAACACATATGTAACACTGTAAGAATGGATGACCCTGAAGGATTAATAAAAGCCAACAGAAATGGTTTACATGGAGCTTATGATGCTTATGTTAAATTTAAATAGCAGAAGTTTTCTGTTGATATTATACATTTAGATAATGCCTTGTTTTTTTTTTCTAATCTTAATTTAATGGATTGCTTCATCACCCTTTTTTTGATGTCACATGTTAAGGTTTTTTTTTCCCCTCATTTTAAGTTGACATCTATCTCATTTAATAGAACCTCTTGATTCAGGATCTTGAGTATAATTAGCCAACTTAAGAATTTTTAATTGATTAATTTAAGTGCATATTTAATTGAAAAATTCATGAAAAGTGCAGTATAAGCATTAAGATTCTTTGATGTTTAATGCTTCTTTGATGTTTTGCTCAAGTCATTAAGGCAGGCAATGCATCCACCAGTTTTATTCAATCAATAAATCTATAATTTCTTCATCGGATTTTTCATGCTAAGGAGTCTTCACCATTTTCGCTTGGTTGCTCTCGCATGTGTGATGTTAAAATTTATCCAAGTTGGATTTGAGGATCAAGGCCGCCTAGTCTATTTAGATGCTTGAGAATAAAGATCACATTCGTTTGGCTTAGAGGAGTAATTGAGGGTCAGCCTAGAGTAGTGATTGAGTTGCATCTAATGTAACATGTAGGTTTCCTTTTCAAGTCATGGAAACAAACAACCTTTATGTGATAGTGGTAGTAAAGCAACCCCTCCGAAGGCTCTTCACTGTTGGGAGCTCCATTTATTTTTTACATTTTCAGCATAGGAATTATTGTCCATGTGAGAAGTGGAGCTTGGGTTCTCGTGTATGAGACGTATAGATTAGCGGACTAGGAATTAAGGTTTAGGTTGGAACATTTGGGCCAGCTGGAATGCTCATTTGGGGAATAGATTTAGCGTGACGGAGTCAGTTGAAAATAAATTAAAATTCTCCAATAATTGGGTTATGAAAGTTCCTTATTCAGAATAAGTGCAAGTTTAATGTACCTCTGCAGTTTCATCTTTTTGCTACTACATATGTGCAAAAAAGCTTATATTAAAATTACCATCATATTTACTTTGTGAATATTGAATAAAGATATATCTTATATTCTTATCCTATAACGACAACATATCATTGGCTAACTATAAAAAATTTAGTCTTTAACATCAGGTAATGAGTCTTAATTGGAATAAAAGTAAGAGTTATCCAAACCATTTAGCAATTTCATCGTCTAGCCTTTCTTGTAATTATGTTGATTGAGCTTCCATGTCTCAATCCCCTATGGGATCATCCATTCTCTATTTGAACATAATGTGTCTGTGCTGAAGTTTTGGCCTATTGGTTGCTGTTTGCAAAAATGATACCTTTTATGCCTCAAAACTTAATAATGAATGAAACAATAGGCTTTAACTGCCGTGGGGCAAGGAATTGTGGCAAGAGTAGTAGTTTTTGATTTATGATTTCAATTAATGGACACTTTCTCAGACAAGGAACATGTATAATATGTACCATATATTAGGTCAAGGAGAGGAAATATTTTGCTCAACTACTTTCCATGCTAGGAGGTCAAATCTAATGATTGTTTTAACTTTCTTGTAAGACAGGTATTGTTTTTTATAAATTGAAGGTCAGTGTTGCCAGCGGTGCATATTTGTATGACTGCTTGGTCTTGCTTGGGAGAATTGAAAATTAATATTCCAATCTCGCTCACTTTATTTGGCTTATTTTTTGGATTTGCATTCTTTTTTTCCTTGACAGTTCATAGCGGGCTGGAAATCTGGCGAATTGAAAATTTTCAGCCTGTGGCTGTTCCAAAATCTTCATACGGGAAATTTTTCAGTGGAGATGCGTATGTAATCCTAAAGGTGTTTCTCTGGGCCTTCTTATTTTCATGCAAGTAATTATTACTCATTGACTAGAGTTAGTGCCTCATACAACAATTAAGCATTCTGAATGGAGGATTCATAAAGCCAACTTATTTTTGGTAATGTTGTGTCCATCTCCTTTAAATGTTATAGTTATTCCTGTGCTTGCTGTCGAATAAAAAGGCATAACTGACAACACCTTTGGTGGGTATGTGTAGTTTTTAGTGGCATATTCCAACTATGAGGATTATCTCTTCAGTGCTTGAAGCCTAAAAGCTTCCTTGATGCTGCTTATAAAAGCCTAGAAGCTTTGGCTGCTTTGAAAATTGCATGGTTATTTTTATCAAATCTTAGAATTTAGAAATCAATATTACGTTTTATATTTATCATGTGTGTGTGCGTGTGTGTACACACATATTTTTGAGATTTATGTAAAACATGTACTTGAACATTCTACTTTTGTAATTTAGCTAGTTGAAAATTTCTGATTTGTTCAATGAAATTTAGAGTTATATGCACATTTCAATGTTTTATTTTTTTTATTTATTCTTCTTTTCTTTCTCACAAAAACTTTTAAAAATTTCCTTGGGCATGGCTTAGTCTAGTTCTAAGGTTTACACTATATTAAAACATTATCAGAATTTCCCTCTTAATTTGAAGAGAAAGGAAGAAAAGCTCTAGTCTTTGGTGTTGAAAATTGACCTCCTACACACACATAGCTGTTGGTCAATGCAGTTTTACCAATCTTTGTTCTTGCATGCATCTCTTACGCTTGACTTGGCTAGCATGAAACACTTGCATGATTGCATATGTTCTGCTTGCCTGCTTTGCATGCTCGCTTCCCTCCCTCCCTCCCCCTTTGTTCTACCAGCCCAACTACATGCTCTTATATCAATTTTTAAATTGGTTAAGAGGCGCTAATTACCCAAGTATTCGAGAAATGTCCAAGGAAGCAGTTATTTTCTCTTCTTTCTTTTTTTTTATAAATTAATATAATTCATTTATTTTGATAGATTTTTTATTATATTACTTAAAATTTTGAGATATATTTCAAGAAATTAGTAATGATTATTAATATTATTAAATTATGTTTTATTATTTAATTATTGAATTAATTTAATTATTGTTATTATTATTTATTTTTAAAACTCTTACAAAGAGTGAATTCTCGGGGCTTAAGATTGAATTTTTGGTCAAGGCCAAAGAGTGGGTTTGTGTAGCTTATGGATTGAAGTCCTCTTTAGAGAGAGAAATTGAAATGGGTAATGGCATTAGGGGTCGTTGAGCAATTTGTTAAATTTTTGGAACTGATGGAGGATTTTCCCGAAGATTCCACTTCCAAAGATGTCGCATCTTGCAATGGTGGCTTGGCTAGGACTAATGTAGTATTTGATTTTCCTTTGTTAGTACTTGTATTTGATTTTCCTTTTATAAGATGGTGGTGAGATCGACAATGCTCTATGGCGCAGAATGTTGGCTTTTAAAAGAGAAGCATAAAACTAAGTTAAGTGTTGCCAAGATGAGAATGCTTAGGTGGATGAGTGGCTTTACACTTAGAGACAAAATGCGAAATGAGTATATCTGTGATAGGGTTGGTGTAGCTCCAGTGACGGACAAAGTTAGAGAGAGTCGTCTTATATGGTTTGGTCACATTAAACGTCGACCATCTGATGATCCGATTAGAAGAGTAGATTTTCTAGATTCGACTTATGTTAAGGAAGACAGAGCTAGACCTAGAATGACTAGGGCTAATTGTATAAAAAATGATCTTAATTTATTAGAATTAAATGAAAATATGACACTAAGTAGGACGTAATGGAGAAAAAGGATTCATGTAGCCGACCCCATTTAGTGGGATAAAGGTTTTGTTGTTGTTGTTGTTGTAGTACTTGTATAGAATGAAAGAGAACAACTTACAAAGAAATTCTCAGGAAATATTGTGTGCCAACGCTTTTAATGCGCAAGGGATAGCTGAAGTATAACCTAAAACATTTTACAAAAGTAGTGCTAGAAGAAAAAACATTTGGCATGCTTAATATTATAAGGATCCTATCTTCGATAGAATAACTGTGGTGAAATATCACAATGGATCCTTCCCTTGGAGGGTATGACAATGACAGCCATTAATGCTGTTGGTGTGATCTAACATCTTGATGCTTGGAAACCTTCCTGGATTAGCTGGAAAGCATTAGTTCTGCCTAATTGTTTGGATTGTTTCCATTAGCAAGTAGAATTTTGAACATTACTGTAGTTTACTGGGATCACACCTTTTGATCTTTTTTTTTAATTATGACTTGTAAATCTTAATGATTCTGACTTGACATTTTTAGCTTATTTTAGTAAATGTTTATTGGCCCTCATATAGTCCTTTAGAAATTAATTAATTTTTCTTGAACAGACAACTGCTCTGAAAAGCGGTGCTCTTCGAAATGACATTCATTATTGGCTGGGTGAAAATTGCAGTCAGGTTGCTTACTAATCAATTTCATTTCTTTGCATTGGTTTTTGTCATATTCTTGTTCCTGCTCTCATGATTGATTGGCATGCTCATGTATTCTTGTATTAAATATACTAATAAGCAGGATGAAGCTGGTGCTGCTGCAATCAAGACAGTTGAGCTGGATGCAGCACTTGGTGGTCGTGCTGTTCAATACCGTGAAGTGCAAAGCCATGAGACTGACAAATTCTTGTCTTATTTTAAACCATGTATCATACCACAATCAGGGGGGATGGCATCTGGATTCAAGCATATTGAAGTGAATGAACATGATCATAAGACTCGCTTGTTTGTTTGCGAAGGAAAACATGCTGTTCATGTTAAAGAGGTAAGTATGAATCCATCTAAAATATTTAATGATGGTATTCTATGTAGCTTATCTATTTGAATATCCTGATAATGGTTTTATTTTTCTCTAGGTTCCTTTTGCTCGATCCTCGTTGAACCATGATAGCATTTTTATTCTTGACACGAAGTCCAAGATTTTTCAGTTCAATGGTTCTAACTCATCTATTCAGGAGAGAGCTAAAGCTCTTGAAGTTGTTCAATATGTTAAAGATGCTTATCATGATGGAAAGTGTGATGTGGCGACTGTCGGTAAGTGTTTGCCATTTAGATACCCAATATTGTCTTACGAATGATGATTCTATTTTGAAAATGGAAAAAATTATTTAGAGGACGGAAAGCTAATGGCTGATGCTGATGCTGGAGAGTTCTGGGGCCTTTTTGGTGGATTCGCTCCTCTTCCAAGGAGAGGAGCTGATGATAATGTAAATGGAATCACTCCTACAGTAAAGCTCTTTAGGTAATCTCATGTCACAACTTTCATATAAATAATTCAACTTTATAAACTGGTTTGAAGGATTTGATTTTAATTGATGACCAATCTATTCAAGTTTTTGGTGGAGGTAATGTTAAGCTGAATTTATGATAAAATTAGAAATGATATAATGATGGAAGTGTTAGTGGATTTCTCTTTTATCTTGTTCAGTTGACAAGGAGATATCATGAGTGAGAGAAGATTTCATTGCATTCGCAACTTGGATTGAACCACATATGTTATTTGAATCAATAGAAGAAGAACAAATACTGATAATGAGCCTCAACAAATAATTTATTTATCAAAAGTATTTCAAAAGTTCATCTCTATGTATCACTGACACTTCTAAAAATCCGTAATGCTCGTGTCAGACACTAACACTTGTCCGACACATCAGAACATGTCTGAGATATGCCTCAACACTGCATCAGATATGTGTTCAACATGATTTGGGAACAAACGGGACACAGGAAGTATACAATTTTAAATTTACGTATAACCTTTATTATGCCTCACAGTTGAAGCCACATCCTCTATCATCATGTCAAAACTCCTTCTAACATTCGTCAAAATCGAGCATCAAAGGTGCATCTAATATTCGTCGAATCCGTGCATCAATAGTTCTCTCATTGTTTATTGAAGTTGAGCGCTAAAGGTTCATCTTGCATTCGTTGAAGAAAAGCGTTCTAGTTCTCTTTTATTCATCTAAGCTGAACATGCACTATAAAATGGAAGTCGTGAGCTTCTTTGTTGCAACCTGAGCAGGAGTCAACTTTATTCATCGTAGCCAATCCAAGCACCCTCGAAATTAGCGACAATTACACTAAAAGTTCTTTTCATTATAGACAAGTGATGTCAAAGCCGCCCTAGTATTATAAATGATAATGAAAAAGTATATGTTGATAATTAATTAAATATTAAGACATGTCCATGATGCACCAATACTTATTTTTCTAATTATGGTGTGTCCCCATGTCGTGTCCGTATTTCATAGGTTCATTCAAGCTATCTTATTTAGAAATGAATACAAATCCTAAGGTAAGGATGGGATGCAATTTTTCTTATTATCTCAAATAAGAATGGGATTAACCTTAACATCTTTATATTTAATCTAATGACAAATAAAATGAAATAAAGAAAATGTCAATCTAAATTGATGAGGCGTCTAAAAATCTTTTAAAATGGGTCGCGTTTAGCTCCGTTAAAGCTTGGTGATTTGCTTATGAGAAATTGGAGTTGGTGGGCTTATTTTCCTCAATGATAAACCAAACGGAGTGGATTGGATGAACTCCCTCTAGATGCAAAAAACTCTTACTTGTTGAGTTAGCAACAATCTAATCATCCAAGATATCCGGTGCAGTCTTTTGTAGTTCCTCTTTTTTTCATCTATAAATTAAAAATCTGCACTCAATTTTTATCTTCAGTTATAATTTCATTTGATTCGATCTCAACATTGAGGCAAGTGTGTAGCAAGAATGACGGATGCGGTAGTGGTAGCATTTATAGTAGAGTCAATTCCGTTGAAGAATCAATGGGCAAATCTCAAGTTTTGAAAGTTCCTCCATAAGGTTTTAAATTTCCAGTGTTTAAAATAGGACTTATTTTTATATCAGGTGGCAACTATAAAATATAACCATCATGATTATTTTTCTTATTGGAGAAAGGTTGCAAGCTCTTGCTTTCAATTTCTTGTATTTTATTTTCGTGAAAAGTTAGGCGTACACATGAATCATGGACGTTACCTCCTTCATACTACTGAGTTCCTCTTTTGACATTCAATATTTGTTATTATGTAAACATTCATTCTTATTTTACCTTGTAAACCATTTATCTACTCTGCAAATGATACTGCAAAATTGGATTGCATGTAATAATGCAGGGACATGATCTATAGGCTTTTTATGGCTTGTTCCTCGAATAATCATAAATTGTCTTGATTTTTTATTTAGATACAATGCTATTATATGCAAATGTATTAGTAGGAAGGACTAAAAATTGGTTTAATGTTCTCTTACCAACCAGACAACTTAGGAAATTTCCCAGACATTTATTCACTGCTCCAGCTTTACTTTCAATTTGATGATGGAAGTTTGATAAAAGCTTAATGGTAGTTTTGAACAATCTTTGTATGGGGTTCTAAAAGTTAGAAACAAAATTATCATTCAGATACTATGGCCTTAAGCTACTGTCGGAGAGGAAAAGTGGGGTTTGTGGGGAGTTGCCCGTAAGATGCTGTCGGTGATCAGAATCGAAATTCCGTCGCCCGCTTCGGAAGAACGTTGAAGTATGAAATCAAACTGACCCCATATTTTTTTATAGTTTAAAATGAAAGAACACTGTACCTTAAATCCTGTATCTATCCCAAAGGATAAACACAAGACTTGAGGATGAGACTCGATCAAATAAATTAAGGAAAGTATGACGTTCGTTTGGTTTGCTAAACCTTTGTATTTGCCGACAAGTTCCCCTATTTAATATAAATAATTAAATAGAGTTTATTTTAAGCTGGATTCAGACATGCTTCCTATAAGGGCAAACCCCTATAGTTAATTATATCTTAAATGACCAAAGTCACCTAAGAAAACTCTCGATAAAAATCAAGAAATATTATCTTCAAGGAATTTCAAAGGGTAGGACTTTTTAATGAAATCGGACGTAGAGGTGTGAAAGGGGATTGATTCAAATTTGGAAAGATTTATTTTAGAATCAAAAGGAGGAAGAATTAGGGGATGTCATGGATCCAGAGGCGAACATCGGTGACTTCCCAAGCCATCCTAATGTTTGGCTTCAGTTTTGAGGAGAGATATTTAGATGTTTCATCCTGCCAATTTTATTAGTTAGGTACATTCGTGTGAAACTATCGCACAAATAGCTTGAAAGATGTGAGGATTTAGGTCGTGACAAACGACAACTTCAGAATCCTAAGACGAGTTAGGACTTATATTGTATAGCAGAGATGTACAAAAGCCTAAAGATAAGGTGAGGATTTACGTTGCATAAACAAGCAACCTCGAAGTCCTATGGCTTTGTTGTTTAAGTCTAAGGAAGGAAGATTGGTTTAGCTGGGGAAGACA